CGATATCCCACCTCAAACCTTTCATGGTTCAAGGATTAGAGTCACGCCTAGGAAAAGTGTTCCACTACCTCGGCGAGTGACTTTTGAGAATTCTGCTAGAGTTAAAGGAGAGTCATCACAACCACAGCAAGGGAGCAGGATCTCTCAAGTAGTAACCGGAGTACCTGCATCCTACACTCGGGACATGAATTTGGCTGAACGAGAATAGGTGCGGAGAATCACATCAGATACTCAAACTCACCAGACCCGGCTGGGATATCATCACCACATTTTGAACAACCTATCCAATGTGATGGAAATGCACCACCAGCGTATGATGAGAACCTCGGATGCCGTTATTGCTGCGAGACGGGAGATTAGGAGATTGTATAAATGTTTGGTGGTGAGTGGGATGATGATGTTGATACTAGGAATGCTGATCGGTTGGATGTTATTCTAGAAATAATGACTAGTGATAGGATATCTACTCTATTGCAAAGAAACCCAAGATCTTTTTTTGATAGGCTGTAAGCAACCATGAATTTATGATGTCTTGTGAGAAATGCTTGTCTACATCAAGTCATGATTGAATATAAGATTATTCTATTTGTTTATATAAATGCTTGAATGTTATCCATTCGATGAATGTCCTTTGCATCATGTAAATGACTGGAAGTTATTATCTTGATATTGCCATGATAATGACGAAATTCCCTTCTGACTTAGGCCTTAGAAAATGCCACCAAGGAGAGAAAACCCTGAAGTTGCACAACTCGTATCAGAACAACTATTGGCTGCACTCCCAACATTGTCATCCAGGTAGTGGCAGGACTAAATGCTAACCAACCAACCAATTCTGAGCCTAGAACACCACAGGAATGCACCTATAAATCCTTCAGATCCTGCAACCCAAAAGAATTCCATGGAATCGAGGGAGCCGTAGGATTATTAACCTGGATTGAGAGTATGGAATCTGTCCTCCATATTAGTAAATGCACAGAAGCAAACAAAGTAGAATATGCTGCATGTTTACTGCAAGGTCGAGCGCTGACGTGGTGGAACACCTTAGTTCAGACTAGGGGTCAGGAATCTGCCAACCAACTTTCATGGGAGGAGTTCAAGAAATTACTTAAGGACGAATACTGTCCAAGAAGTGAACTCCAAAATTTGGAAATGAAGTTATGGAACCATGAGATGAAAGGGGAAAACATAGCTGCATATACTGCTCGATTCCATGAGGTAGCAAATCTAGTGCCACATCTGGTGACACCCGAGGAATTTCGAATTGAGAGATATATTTGGGGATTGTCTCTAGAGATTCGAGGAAATATCACCTCGGCAAACCCAAAGACCCTTCAGGAAGCAATAGACATTGCCACCAAGCTCACAAATAATGTTGTTCGGTCCGGAAAATTCGCCAAAGGAAAGAGAAAGATGGAGGAGCATGGGAACCAAAGATCTGGGGGAAGATTTGACAAAAATAAGAAAGTAGTAGGAAATTTTAGGGTACAGACCCACGTGGCAAATCAAGGAAGCAAGCCTAAGTGCAATAAATGCAAATATCTGCACTGGGGGAATTGCATCATTTGTCAAAGATGCCACAAAGGGGGTCATTCCGCAAAGGATTGCCGAAAGCGATTGTGTTTTGATTGTGGGAGCCCAGACCATATAAGAAATGTTTGCCCAAAGAGAAAACAAGGAACAAATGCTAACCAAGCCCGACCAGCCAATTAAGGAAACCCAGAAAGTCAAGCACGAGGCCGAGCATTTGAGATTGGAGCAAAGGAAGCTAAGTATGATCCCAATGTGGTTACAGGTACATTTCTCTTAAATAATGAATTTGCATCGGCATTATTTGATTCAGGGGTCAGATAGAAGCTTTGTATCATTAGATTTTAAGCCGAAGATTAACTTAAAGCCCCAAAGGTTGAAAGAAGTTTATATAATAGAATTTGCCAATGGCCAAGAAATTAAGGCTAGAGACATAATCATGGGATGCACACTAAGTTTAACCAACAAGGATTTTAGCATAGACCTTATTCCGATTGAGTTAGGAAGCTTTGATATRGTCATAGGCATGGATTGGCTATCCAAAAATCGAGCTGAAATAGTCTGTTCGGAAAAGGTTATCTGAATTCCTCAAGAAAGAAGTGACTCAATTGTAATTCGAGGAGACGAGTCAGATCGAAAAATTAGGATAGTATCATGCATGAAGATGCGAAAGTACTTAAAGATGAATTATGTCGCATTTTTGGCACATGTTATTGATAAGAAGATCAAAGAGAAATGTATTGATGATTTCCCTGTAGTCCGGGAGTTTCCTGATGTATTTCCTGAGGATTTACCAGGACTACCCCCATCGGGACAAGTTGAATTCGGTATCGACTTAATCCTTGGAGCTGCCCCAGTGGTAAAAGCACCATATCCATTGGCTCCATCAGAAATGCAAGAATTGTCAGGTCAACTCCAAGAATTATTTGATAAAAGATTCATAAGACCTAGTTTCTCACCATGGGGTGCACCAGTTCTATTCGTCAAAAATAAAGATGGGTCAATGCGAATGTGCATTGATTATAGGGAACTTAATAAGTTGACCATCAAGAATAGATACCCTCTTCCCAGAATCGATGATTTATTCGATCAACTCCAAGGTGATGTATATTTCTCAAAGATCGATCTACGATCCGGATATCATCAAGTGAGAATTCGAGAGGAGGACACCCCCAAAACAACATTTAGAACCCGATATGGTCATTATGAGTTTTTGGTTATGCCATTCGGGCTAACCAATGCACTAGCGGTCTTTATAGATCTGATGAATAGGGTCTGCAGACCATACCTGGATAAATTTGTAATTCATAGACGACATACTGATTTATTCACGAAGTAAGGAGGACTATAAGCAACACTTGAGGATGATATTAGAACTACTTCGGAACCAGAAATTATACGCAAAATTATCCAAATGCGAATTCTGGATTCGTGAAGTACAATTTCTTGGTCACGTGGTTAATGAAAAAGGGATTCAGGTAGATCCTGCAAAGATTGAGGCCATTAAGAAATGGGAAGCCCCAAGAACCCCGACGGAAATTCGTCAATTTCTTGGTTTGGCAGGCTATTATCGGCGATTCATCGCGAATTTTTCAAAAGTTGCGCAACCACTCACAGCTTTAACTCAGAAAGACAAGAAGTTTTTCTGGGAAGAGAAACAAGAAGATGCATTCGAGACCCTTAAGCAAAGACTATGTAATGCACTTATCTTATCCTTACTAGAAGGTTCGGAAAACTTTGTGGTATATTGTGACGCATCACATCAAGGATTAGGATGTGTGTTAATGCAAAAAGATAAGGTCATTGCATATGCCTCAAGGAAACTTAAAGTGCATGAGAAGAATTATACTACGCATGATCTAGAATTGGGAGCCGTAGTATTTGCACTTAAGATTTGGAGACACTACCTTTATGGTACCAAATGCACTGTGTTCACTGATCACAAAAGCCTTCAACACATCCTCAACCAGAAAATGTTAAATATGAGGTAGAGAAGATAGATTGAACTGCTTAGTGATTACGACTGTGAAATCAAGTACCACCCCGGCAAAGCAAATGTGGTGGCCGATGCTCTGAGTAGGAAGGAAAGAGTGAAACCAACAAGGGTGAGAGCTTTGGGAACAATAGTAAACACCAGTCTGAAGGCACAAATTCTCGATGATCAAAAGGAAGCATTAAAGAAGGAGAATTTGAAGAATGAAACTCTACATAGTTCAACGACGAACATTTATATGATAAGTAACATAAGTCAGTGGTTCTGAAAATTGTTCACTAATGAACTTTTAACTAGTGTATTAATGTCTCTGGTTCACACACCAACATCATGTGAACAGGGTTCATTAATGAGCATATCATTGAAAACACCAGAAACAAAGAAATCATCCGAATCAATATGTTGAATGGTATTGTGTTCATTTTGATTATCCATCATTCGAATTGATTTGAACATAATCATTGAAAATCTTGGAATGGATGATATAATTATCATCCCTGAAAACAAGCAATTATCTTTTTGTAACATCCTATTAATATAATGAAATAACTTACAAATGAAAATTACATATGTACCCTTAATCATTGACTCTAACATTTGAAGTAACCATGATTAAAGAATGATTTTGATTGGTCCAACGAGTTCACGAAGTTGACAATATTTTTTTGTTAACAAAAGATCTTTCCTCTCTCTATATAAATAGAGGGAGGTTAAAATGAGAATGACAAAAGGTTGAGAATGTGAGAGTAGATTGCAAACGTTAACTAAATGAGATGATCCAAGAGATGTGAGTAAAAATATAATTATAATCACTCTAAAGAAAAACTCCCATCCTATTTTTTAATAAAAAATGGGCGAAATATAACCGAAGTTGGAGCCAAACAACTATAAAAAACTAAGCATTTTATTCTCTTTAATCCATATTGTTATACTTTTTCATCCATTTTTTCCCCTCTTTCTCAATCTTTTTATCATTCTCATTTAAGCATATATAGGGTTGGGTTATAAAAATAATTGAAAATTTTGTGGGAACTGCAGGAACCATGGGCATTGTCGATCATCTTGTTATCCAATGATGCTGATGTGCGAGTTTTTGTAATGAAGTGGCACTTTGGTCTTTTGGTGTTTCACATATGGACACAAACGTATATGTTTTCATGATAATGTATATTAACATATGATAATTTGTATTAACATTTTCATGTTACCATGTTTTAAAGTATGTTAATATTATCATGTTAATATATGTTGACTTTTATGTTAATATTTTCATGTTAATACTGTTTAATTAGTGTATATATATGATGTGAATTAACAAATGTTAAAATATGTTAACATGGGTTAACTTATTTTTGCATTCGTTATGGTTTTAGCAAAATTGAGGGCCATCAAAAAGGATATAAACAATTAAAGTTTACATAAATAAAATATAGAAGCTGGAGGATAGCCAAAAAAATTGGATGCTTAGATTAAAACATTACAAATATTTGACATGATATGCCTCTACAAAATACATCACCAAAATCATCCACATTCAGCTGACAACCATACAAATATACATCAATTCAAAATGGAATTTCATCGAGAGGAAAGGGCAATGTCTAAAAGGACAACGATTTAAAGTAAAGTTGACTACTAATATTTGTGATGGTATAAATCGTATATGACATGAAAGCAAAAATGGTGATTAATATTGGTATCCATTGAGAATGGCTTTGATAAAGAATGAAAAGGCTTATAAGATAAGTTATTATAATGCTTGCTATAGACCAAAAAACTAAAACTATAGAAGATATGATTTGGAGGTATGATGAAGTCATTACGTTATGGCCATGATGATCAAACATAATGAAAGCTATGACCATCAGAATTGAAGTTGCCGATAATAAAAATGACAGGCCATCGAATATTATGAAGATTTTGGAAATAGTTTTTGGAAGGAAGATAGGAATACCGGTATCTTCTTGGCTGTATCCGCCTGGAAATGTAAATATCGCTGCAAATGAGATGGTGGTTACAAGTGCTGCAACCACCATTAATTGGCTGGCTGTTCCTTTCATCAACTTTTCCTCTTCGAAAAAAATATCTTTGTGGTTCTTGACGAATAGTTCGTAGGGTGTCTGGCCAATTGCATTCTTCTTTTCGTAAAGATAACCAGGGAGTATACTCTCCACTCTCTAGCACCACAAAGATTATATCATTAACAATGACGGGATCATCCATTACAAACATTTCATATTACATGAAAGGGGGAATTTTCGATCAATCTAATTTTGCAGGTTTTGTTAGTCATTCCTAATAGTTTATAACCAATGGCTGAACTTGGGTACTCTATCTTTTCAGTTTGTCTAATACCATATGTCAACTTAAAGAAAATTATATCTTTGAGTTGGATTTTACAACACATAAATAGAATTCCAACTTCATTTTCTGAAGAAAAATGCACACAATTTTTCGGAATTGTAGTTGGAGAAGATGTTTCCATAGATTTAGAACACACCAAGAAAGAGAAAAGATATGTAACAAAGTTAAATTTGTATACGTTGCTTTGAGGGACATACGTACCTTAAACCACCGAAGTTCTAGTTCCTTTAGCATGCCCAATCCTGAGATGTCTGATAGTCTATTACCCTTAGCACACTCCCCAACTAAATGCAAAATGTTGTTGCCATTTTTGTCTTCAAGAGTAATGATCAAATCCCTGGTGTGGTCTTTCTCAAGTAATAGATTGTAGATACCCAGATGACGATGCATGACAGCAACATGAAATATACTGTAGTTATCATCATTTAGCTCGAGGGCCAGATGTGGGTATTGTCGAATGAACTCAACTATAAATGCAGTGTTACCCATTTCTGCAGCAAGAAATAATAATCGAGAAGGGTATTTTTGCTTTGTATCGTCCTCGGGTGGCCCTCTTATTAAATCATCAATTTCAGCCTTGGGCAATTTCAAAATCTCGTTCAAAATGATCCTTAATAATAGCAAGGCCTTCCTTTCCTTCTCCTTATACAAGTGAATGACTGAAAGGACTAAAATCTCAACTTCAGGCAAATTCACAATCTCTTTCAAAATGATTCTTAGTAATTGGAAGATATCATCTTCATTGTATTCTTTTAGCCAATTAAAGCATATAATTACGTTTAAATTGAATCAAATTAATTAAATTTAGTAGACAATTTGAAAATGTTGATGCATTAGAAGTACTTATGGGGTTATGACATGAGCGTACAATGAAAACAATATAATACAAGTCAAAGGAATTGAGATTCTTACAGAAATATATGACTTCGTATAAAGGGTATCGTTTTATAGGAAGACATGCATGAGTTTTTCGAGCCAATGATCTGAGTACACTCCTATTTATTGCAAGTTCCGGAAGGTCGCTCACTATTTGAAATGCGACATCTACAAAGCATATGATAGTCACTTGATGAGAAAAATTTATGATAAACAGAAGACAAAACTAGGCAAACCATTGGCGACATAATTGTGATATTATGTGCAAACCATTGCAGCAAAACAAAAAAATGGAAGAATGAAGACAAGAAAAAAATTGAAGTACGAAACGTATTTTTAACGAAGTTTGATAGACCTAGAGAAGATCTCAATCAACGTTTTCAAAGAAGTCCAATTGGTCTAGTCAATTGATTAAAGCTTCTATTATAAGTTTATCATATATGCATCAAGTGCAATCTTTTTTCATCTTGATGCATAAGCAAAGTTTTTGTGTTCGACTTTGAAACCTCTCCAAGGTTCTTACATAGCCAATCGAAAAAGGAATAAAAAAATTCACATTGGCAATAAACAATTGAGAAAACAAGCATCTTCTAAAAAGTTGATTCGATTGGTGAAGCCAGTCACATCAAATACCAAACTTCGTAGAATTTTAGAAATCCCAATATTTTTGAACAAAGAACCATGTATATAGATTAAAGATTTCGGTGACTAATAAAGGAATAACTTAAACATATAGTAGATTGAACCTTTATCAGAATCATTTTTGCATTAACCCTATTATCACTAGAATGAGTTTAAACATGCCTATGTCTTATGCTAGTGATTGTGATTCTATTAAGAGTAAAAAGAGAAGTATAATTAACACATGAAGGCATGTAGGAAAATAAAAAGGCTGAAATGCAACAATCAGTTGTCCAAACACTTACCAAATAGATTAGCCTCAACGCAATTCTCAAAAACCGAACTCCGATTCTGATGTGTCCAGAACTGACCATTCATTTTCTGTGAACTACTATATAGGTACTCGACCATATCATGCCTTCCATATAAAGCAGCCACTTGGAAGGGCATCTTTCCTTGACTATTAGGGATATCTATCAGTCCCTCATTCTTTTCCACCAAAGTCTTAGCTATTTCAACATTTCCTGTTCTAGCTACTAAACACAGGGTTGTTTCACCATTTCCATTTAGAAGTTCCAAGTCTTTCTTTGTCATCAAACTCATCAAATATTTCACGAACAAGCATGATTTTCCCAATACTGCAACATGAATGATTGTTTCACCACTTTCAGTGATGCTAAACTGTACCAACTCTGGACGCTTGTCAAGAATGAACTTAGCAGCTTCAAAATCGTTGGTTGTTATCGCTTTATACAAAGGAACACAAATTGCTTTGTAGTTTTCTCCTCCTTCCAAGTAATTGCAAAATCAAGTTATTACTTATGCATCCAAAGGTATATTGGTTTTTCAAGTGTGCATCACATGGAAATTGCTATTCATATATCCTCCACGAGAATTAAACTTGAAGTTAATTTTGAAATGAGTATTCAAGAACATGGAATATAAAAAAAAACAAAGAACTTTCCTAAAGATAAATATCATCCCAGCTATTGATTAAAAATGATTTTTCAGCAAATTGGTGAAGTGTATATGATAGCAATTTGAATAACAAAATGACACCAAGTACTATGGGAACCGGTTTGGTAACTGTTGTAATATTTATGTATTACATTTGTTTATGGATGTTTCAGTCGACCAAATCAGTAAAAAATTGAAACTAGGTCATTAGTCAACACAAAGCTTGCCCCCTACTCTTCTCCGATACTTTCCACTACTCTACATAGCTTGCTCCGTACTCTTGCCAAGACTTGGTACATACTCTTCGTTGGTATCTAAATACCACATTTGGCCACCAACTTTGAACACCCTGGTTTCTTGAGCTTCCTCTAGATATAACACCAAAACACTTCCTTCTATAGTATAACTTCAAGAGAGTATATATATATATATAGTAGATGTGAGGTACAAAAGTGTTCTTGGTGTTCTTGAGGATTTGCTAGTTGATCTTGGATCTAATTAAGGATCTTTGTACAAGCAATTTGTAATCTCCTTAGTGGTAATAAAATTCTTGTTCTTTCTCTTTGATGGACGTACACTATCACATCAATAGTGGAACCATATAAAATTTTTGTGTTCATATTTTGTGAACCTATGATATGCGTAGATTCTAACATATATTGTTATTATCTATTTTGTGGGGTGGTTTAATTTCAATAGAGTCATTGTGTAACATCTAGATCATTGTTATCCGCATTTGTTGTTGGGTTTGTTGTATCCTTGGATTCAGTGCAGCCCGTGCAGCCGCACAGGGCATCAAAGCCAAAAGGGGCATCGAGTTGTCATTTATTACTAGTTTTGGGTTTAATAATTTGAGAATTGGACAACTGAGTTTTAACTATAAAAATAGGTCGAAGGCCTTAGTCATGAATACTGAATGCACATTGTTGGAAAAAGTTGGAAAAGTTTTTGTTTGTATAAAGTTGTCTGTATGAATAAAGTTGTGTAGATGAATTAGTCTGTTTGTATAAGTTGGAAAATTTTTGTTTGAGAGAGTTTTTGCAGATGTAAGGAGCATTTTTTTAGTTGGAAGGGAAATGTTTGGAAAAAAACTTAGCTTTTTATATAAACACCCCCTAGAAGCTTACTGGATAAGTCACTTTCTATATCACTAAACCACTACAAAACAATCATGCATAGTTGAGCGAAATAATTGTTAGTTCCATTAAACTTATTAAGTTGCTAACATATAGACCCTTAGTCTTTAATCTTTAAACCTGTAACTTTTGAGTTTTACTTTTTGCTTACTATGATAGTAATTTGGATGTAATTTACTATTTTAGGTAAAAACTAATTATAGTTTTCCTTGTCTTTTAAGTCCCATATATTGAAATAAAGTTTCTATTTTGCTAATTTCAATTTGGAAAAAGAAAAAATGAAAAAGAAGGAAGCACGACCTTAATCTAAGATTTATCCTTTTATCTTTTTATATTATGTATTCGGGGTTTTGGTTTTTATGTCACTCCATTGTATTTTTTTATTATAATCAATAGAAATCAACATGGAGATGATATACTTAGTTTGAATAGGTTTTAAACTCTTTAAAAAATCGCATGCTTCGTTGTTTAAAAAATAGGTTTAGGGGCATTTTTTATTACTTTCGCACGGGGCATCAAAAATATTAAGACCGGCCCTGCTTAGATTTCTATCTCAAGGAACCTTAGAAATCAATTGTTAGATTTGAATTATGACACACCCATTCCTAAATCCTAATGGTAACAACTCATTGTAGAATAGCTAGAGGACTTACCTACAAGTAGATTTAGACGAGGTACATTCATATATGATAGATGATTATGTGAAGCGAATGGATTGTAAATATGGTCATACTAAGTCATGGGGTTCACCTCATTGATTAATCTTAAGACTATATTTATCAAGAAAAGGAGCCAACTGCCAATAAAAAGTTATTTTCTCTCATCTACACATACAAGTACTTCTAATCCTAACCCAACTCCAGTTAATTTAGGTTATATTTGAAAAACTAGCTAGAAAGGTTGTTCATAGCTGATAAGATAACATATAAAATAATAATATTTAGCAAAAACTAGCTAATAAACTAGTTAGAATTAATAACCAAAAATGATATGTTAAAAAATTAGTGTATTCAAATATTTTATAACACAATTAAAACAAATAACCATTAATATAATATGTTGATTAATATAAATCAGATGGTAAAAAATTTAAATAATGTAATATGGTAATTAACTGAATTCCAATTTGGTTATTATATATATATATATATATATATATATTGTGTGTGTAGGACGATAATCAAATAAGAACCACAAATAGGTTACAAACTCGTGAGAACCGATATAAAAATATTTTTTACATGGTTTTTTTCATCAAAACATATGATTTTTAAGATATTGTTTCACATATGTGTTCACCTTGTGAGAAGATTAAATGTTGAAACAGAATTGGTTCACCTAGTTAAATAAAAAATACGCGAAAAAAAAATATTCAAATGATGAAACAAATACATGTAAAATTATCATATTTTGAAACAAATACATATGAAGCAATATCTTAAATCTTAGCATTTGATGAAAAATATCATTTAAAAAACATTTTGTATTGGTTTTCTCCGATTTGTAACATATTTGTGGTTCTCATTTGATTTAACCCTTTTATATGTATGTGTGTGTATATACCATAAATTTTAGAGTTGTATAATCAATTTTGGATTGTAAAAAAAAATCTATATTAATTGATAATGTTAAATATTCATTACATATAATATGAATAAAGATAAAAATTATCAATTTTTACATATCCTAATTAATTATAATTCATCAAAAAAAAAATTAATAATAAAATTTAATATTTTATTAAAATCATTTATCAAAATTAATTTTATTATTTATGAAACAAAATAAACATAACCTTTAATTCTTATGTAACTTACATAAACATTTTTAGAATTGTTATATTTATTTTCTGATTATAAAATATTTTAAATAATAATTAAAATAATAATAATATAAAAAATAAACATGGATGAGATTTTTTTATTGATTTAGGGGGTTCTTCACTGATTTAAGTTTCATTTGGGGTTTTGGTTTTAGAGTTTTTTATTATTTAAATTTGGGATATATTTGTATGATATTTGTGGATTTACATCATCACATGATAACCGGTTAATGGTTAAATATGTCATTCAGATACCAAGATGTTTATAGTATTACATATCAGTTACCAAAATGAATATTTTGAAATATGTTACTTAAAATATAAATCAAAACAAAGTAGGTTACATTTTCATGCATTTGATTTGCCCTTAAAGCTTTATCTAAACACTTGATTAAGTGAATCACAACCGACAAGACGAGATGACCGTAACGAGACATTGAATCATAAATTAAAAATAGTATAAAATTAAATTATCAGATGAATATTAACGTTAATAGAAAAAAAAAACTAATAGAAAAATAAAACCCTGATCATTAAAAACAAGATTATAGGCTGTTTGGCAGTTGCTGAATGGTTTGATGCAGAATGATTAAGTGATCAAAATGATTAAGAAGCTCTTATGATATAGTGCAAAATGAAACATAATTATTCGATAATTGTTTACGATGGAATTAGGGTGTTGAATGGTTAAGGGAGACCCATGATACAAAATCATTCAGAGGGTTTTAGAACCATTAAGAGACAGACTTTTTTTGTTAAATAAGATTCACCTCTTTACAATTCAAAGACTGTCTCTTAATGAAATTATTAAAAGAGAAACAAACAATTCCTACATTATTATTCTTCAATTANTTCAATTAATGATAATTAATAATTTATAGTTAATATTAGTTTATAATTTATATAAATAAATAATAATTAACATAAATCAACGATAGAATTGAAAGAAAGTATTGATCTTATTGGCATCAGATATATCAACTGTTTTTGACTAATATAATCAAGATTTTTACATTAAATTCAAAAAGTAAGTTAGAGTTGATCAGCGATCTTATGCAACCAACTTTTTTTTGTCATCTTTTATTAATTTATTATTTATAATCGATTTTTTTTATTTGAGATTATAAAAAATATATAAGAACTTATGTTATAAAAATATGGATATGAAATTAACGAGGTTGGAAATATTCCCACTATTAATAGATAATTGAAAATTACAAATTTTGCTACCTCGGGTTAGCTTCATCTATTGTTAAAAGCTGATTTTTATAGGTAAAAGTCATTTGTTTTGTAAAATTGTAATGTTTATCTTATTTGTGTCCATAAACATAGTTCCTACTCATCTTTAAGGCAATTTATATATATGCTCAACTTGTGAAATTTAATGGCTCACAACATTATAAATTATTTTAAAGAAATAATAGTCGATTTTTATTTTTGTAATTATATTTAATATATTTTTTATCTATAGAACTCAAAGTATACAAACGAAAAGTATTATCGGATAAACCTGGCCTGAATCATACTAAAAAATGACTTCTGTTAACCTAAACTCATTTTACTCGTTGCCTGATCTACTCGATCCACCTATTTTGCCGCCACCAATAAAAACGTTATTTTGATATAGAAAACATGTAAATTGTTTGCACATTCTTTAAAGTTGAATGATGATGTTTTTCAATAATTCTACAATGATAATCAACTACGTACTAGGGATGAGCCTCAAAAGTGAAATCGGTCAAAAATAGCCATTTTTCACTCTTAAATTGATCTCCTAGTCATTTCGCTCTCCAATTTACCCAAATGTAGGAGTTTGTTTCGCAAGTGGCGGACGTGAGATTTGCGGACGTAGTGATATTTGGGTAAATCAGGAAGATGAATGACTAGGAGACCAATTTATATGAGAGAAATGACTATTTTGGTCAATTTCCGGCCTTAAAATCATATATGATAGAAAGAACTTACCATCAAGTAGATCTCTACGAGGTATATTTGATGGTGATAATTGTGATGGCTGACTATGTGAAGCATTCACGATATTAATTTGATGGTGTCCGTTCCCATTCGGTATGTTCATCTCTTCGGCTTGCTTAGAGTTAGAACGAGAAGAGTATTTGGAGATACTATATCTTAAAATACGTAAATTGGTACGATCGATTTTTACTAGTTATGTGTGTATCAAATGAATGAAAAAATTAGGACTTAGGCGCATGAATTTATATAGAATTTATGGTCAACCTAATTATATAATTTAATTAGAGGACATGACCACGTGGTTGACAATGTCTTCCCAACTAACAAATTGGGTCTAAACTAAGACATTTTGTTCCCACATGGTTTGATGAGTTGCATTAGGTAGATCTAGTATAGCGTGTAAACAGACAAAGCCTACTGTTTGTATTGTTATTTGTTTAGGGACGAGAACCCACAATGGGGTTGTCTCCTATGCTTGACCTGTTTGGACACCTTATCTCAAACAGTACAATGTTTAAAAAAAAATTTAAACCACCATTTGCAGTTTGATGCAAATGACCATTTCTCTCGTTCAAATTAGTCTCATAACCATTTCTCTCCCGGGTTGATGCAAATGTCACTACATTCGCAATACTCAAGTCTGCAATATTACAGACCTAGCTAAAAGACAAAAAAAATGTCAAATTCAACCAGTTTATCGTCACAATTGTATATCTAGCCATTATGATCGTATATTTGTGTTGAATTTTTGGTTTTTAACTAGGTCCGTAATAGATATTACGAAAACAGTGACATTTAAATCAACCAAGTAGAGAAAAGATTAGAAAGATAATTTAAACAAAGGAAATGACATTATGGATCAAATCATAAATAACCCAACTAAATTGGGTAAATAATGGTGAATATTTTTGTTTTTAAACGAAAACAAAGTCAATATGTATTATTGTAATATATTAGTCGACATCACACATGCTTTAATTTGCCAAATAAGGAAGACTTCAAGTCTTCCACTACCAAATCCATGATCACGACAACATCAACATCAGTGGAATTAAAATATATATATTACTGTATTAAAAAAATATATTCTTATATAAATATATTCTATGAGGAATGAATAAATTTTAAGGAGGAAACCATGGTTTCCATCTTTGTGTTTTGCTATTTATAGTAACTTTTCTCTGGATATTTTATTATGATTTTCATTTCATTTTGTTTTTGGTACTTGTAGATTCCGCTAACTCAAGGTCATAGTAAGTTAATACATTTATTTGGTTTTTCTATAAAAGTTAAAATACATCCCTTAAAATAATATTTCACGCGTCTTTTTTATTAAAAAAAAAAGAATAATATTTTATAAAAGAAAACATTAATTGATGTAGATTATTGATTGTTAGGGTTTAATTTGTTTTCCCAAATTTTCCATTTGTTGACGACTTTGACGTAGATTTCCATAATTGATCTAAATTAATTATTGGCAATCGGAGTTGATTCTATTTCTCCGGAGATAGAGAGGCTGTATGTATATGTGTTAGTATTAGACATCGTAAAAGCTATAAAAGAGATACAGAATGCGAACAAGGTATATATAAATCGGAGGTGGTAACGACAGTTTATTTATGTGGGTTTTATAATTGGATGGTGGTGATAGCCAAAAACCGGTGTCGGGCCTTAATAGTGTCGGTCCATAACCGGTCCCGGTCCCAGCCGAATAAGGTGAGCTCGGTTAAGGTGAAGTGTAACCGATTATGGTGACCCGGTCCAGGTCCTGGTCCCAACCGGTCCCACCATTATATATATATATATATATATATATATATATATATATATATATATGAAGTGTAACCGATTATGGTGACCTGGTCCAGGTCCTGGTCCCAACCGGTCCCACCATTATATATATATATATATTAAAGAAATTTAATTATATATTTTTTAAATACATTATAAAATTTATAATTGGGTCACTCGATTACACTTTAAAAATACGTTTTATTATAATTAAAATTATATTATCTTCCAAAAATACACTATAAAATTATTTAAAAATACATAAATATTTACACTTTTTACAATATATAAACACATTTAACATATTTATTTAATTTTCTATTAAAAATAATATACAATTCCTTAAATTTCACGCGTCTTTTTTATTAAAAAAAATGTCGTGGTCACTTTTTAATAGGAAACTTTTGTGTAGTGTCATATAAACACATATCTTTATAAGATATTTATCATTATTTTCAAAATGCCATGTCAAAAATTAATAAGACACTATTTCAAAATTGTTTTAAAAGATTTGTTAAGATGCTTATAGATGTCCTATAAACTATTATAGCATATTTATATGGAATTTATAAGTGTTCAATTTTATAGTCTTAAATCTTATAAAATAATCTACTGAAACAATCGAAGAATTTTAACGTTCTATAACTCTGATTTTCCTATAGTGAATAAAATATCATAGCAGAAAAGACAAGGGTTGTGGCATAGTAGTTGAAGACCGGGGGATGTGGTGGAATATCATGTTTGCCCTGAATTCAATGTCAGACTTCCACAACAACTGTGGCCACTGAATTTATAGGACTGATGTCGTACAGTCGCAATATGACATAATGATATACCTTAAGTCAATTGAGTTATAGTTTCGATGGCAGACCCGAGATATTGGGTAATTTATATCACCCTTTGCACTCTCCCAACTAAGTGTAACATGTTGCCATTTTTGTCTTCAAGAGTAATTATCAAATCCCTGATATGGTTGTTCTCATGTAATAGCTTGAAGATTTCGTGGTGACGATTTGAGATAGCAACAGGAAATATACATCGGTTATCATCATTTACCTCCTGAGCTAGATGTAGGCATCATCAAATGACCTCAACTACAAATGCAACATATATTTGCAGCAAGAAATAGTACTCCGTAAACCACAAGGGTTGTGGCATAGTGGTTGAGGCCCTATATATACGGGTTGGGTTCACGTGAGACCATGCTGTTTTCTTGAGACCACTTTTTCTCATTTGAAACATCACAAATAAAAACTGTGAAGGAAAAAGAAAATCTGAATTTTCACAACAAAAGCACTGTGAAGGTTATCTTCACACAACGAATTTTCAAGTGTAAAAAATTAGTTTTCTCATGAAAACAGCCCAGTCTCATATGATCCCAACTCTCTCTCTCTATCTCTCTCTCTATATATATATATATACATACACACACACACACACATATATATATATACATATACATAAATTAAAATATATATACATATAGTGGGCTGGACCAGGCCGGTGATCACCATCCCCATCCCTGATAAAATCTCTGAATATGTCCCCGATCCTTGCCTCATCCTCGGTCTGAAAATTTCGGTTTTCGATTTTCACTATTAGTTTCGGGTTCTTTGCCATTCTTAGGTGTACCCGCTCCGACAATAGGGATTGGGACTCCAAAAGTTAAAAACCGGGGACGGGGCTTGGTAACGTGATCCCTGACTCATCCCCATATATTAAATATATTATATATCTATTATTAATGTATTGCATATTTATTATTAAATATATTGTTTATGAAAAATTAGATGTAACTATCTTTTAGATTTAGAAATAGTATTTTGACATTTCTTCTTATATACATTTTTTCTAACTTTTTTTGCTTTTTTACATAAAAAAAACATGGAGAGCCGAAAATGTTTGATCAACAATTACGTATTATTTTGTGATTTATAACATATGAATATTTGATACACCATAAAAGCAAAATTGTGGAAATATGTTAGATTTAAACATGGACCGTTTTGGATCAAGTGTGGTAATTAACACATTTGAATTTAAAATATCTCACATAACCGGTAAACAACAAATCCCCAATTCCCCGACGAGGACGAGGATGGAGACAGAGATTGAGCGGATGGAGATTGGGTCCCTATCTACGATGCTCGATGATGGAGTCATATGGATTCGAGGAGGGTGGAACTTTGTATATGTTCTTGTTACGCCCTTGTCAAATAATCAACATCTCTGGGTTGAGGGCATTAGAGTGGGTAGTCGAGCTAGACGACCGGTTCCATAGCGAAGGTGATCACTTATAGTTCCTCTGTCGTTCCATAATACGGTTTGCTTCTCTGGCATTGAGATCTGACATGCAACAAATAAGATTGATCCAAAAGTGGAGATCATTTTTTTACCATTCTCACGAAACTTAACCGTATATAATTAACACATTTGGAGAAAAAGAAAAATTATGATCGGTTGAATGAGGTTTGCACGGGTTGTAGAAATGAGGAGGTTTGCATTTGATC